ACCTCCACCAGGTCTGGCTCAGCCCACCTTATCTTAGTTTCAAGTTGTGTTTTTTAGATGGTAAAAGGATACAAACCACAAAACCTCACCTCCACCAGGTCTGGCTCAGCCCACCTTATCTTAGTTTCAAGTTGTGTTTTTTAGATGGTAAAAGGATACAAACCACAAAACCTCACCTCCACCAGGTCTGGCTCAGCCCACCTTATCTTAGTTTCAAGTTATGTTTTTTGGGTGAAAGACATTTTAATTGAATTGTTAAAACCTAACCCCATAAGTAATACTCTAACTTACTCATTCCCGCTAGTTGAGCTTGGATGTTCTCATTATTTATGACACCATTCTCTCCAAAATCTATAAGTGATTTGTCGTCAGCAACATTTTCCTAAAGAAAATGAAATACATATCAAAGTATGATAACAGTACATGCGTATCAAACTAAAGTTAATCTGTTTTACAATATTTGGTCCTTGCCTTTTGTTTTCAGTCTAGTGCATATTGTATTCACATTTTTAGAAAATGTTCTAAGTGTTTAGATGAAGTCCTATTAACAACATGGTCTAACAACTGTTTTGAGTGTTCATATGAACAACATGGTCTAACAATTGTTTGAGTGTTCATATGAACAACATGGTCTAACAACTGTTTTGAGTGTTCATATGAAGTCCTATTAACAGCATGGTCTAACATCTGTTTTGAGTGTTCATATGAAGTCCTATTAACAACATGGTCTAACAATTGTTTTGAGTGTTCATATGAAGTCCTATTAACAACATGATCTAACAATTGTTTTGAGTGTTAATATGAAGTCCTATTAACAACATGGTCTAACAATTGTTTTGAGTGTTCATATGAAGTCCTATTAACAACATGGTCTAACAATTGTTTTGAGTGTTCATATTAAGTCCTATTAACAACCATGTTGTTAATAGGACTTCATATGAACACTCAAAACAATTGTTAGACCATGAGTTGTTAGATTGTTAATAGGACTTCATATGAACACTCAAAACCATCGTCTAACAACTGTTTTGAGTGTTCATATGAAGTCCTATTAACAACATGGTCTAACAATTGTTTTGAGTGTTCATATGAAGTCCTATTAACAGCATGGTCTAACAATTGTTTTGAGTGTTCATATGAAGTCCTATTAACAACATGGTCTAACAATTGTTTTGAGTGTTCATATGAAGTCCTATTAACAACATCGTCTAACAACTGTTTTGAGTGTTCATATGAAGTCCTATTAACAACATGGTCTAACAATTGTTTTGAGTGTTCATATGAAGTCCTATTAACAACATGGTCTAACAACTGTTTTGAGTGTTCATATGAAGTCTTATTAACAGCATGGTCCAACAATTGTTTTGAGTGTTCATATGAAGTCCTATTAACAACATGGTCTAACAACTGTTTTGAGTGTTCATATGAAGTCCTATTAACAGCATGGTCTAACAATTGTTTTGAGTGTTCATATGAAGTCCTATTAACAACATGGTCTAACAACGGTTTTGAGTGTTCATATGAAGTCCTATTAACAACATGGTCCAACAATTGATTTGAGTGTTAATATGAAGTCCTATTAACAGCATCATCTAACAATCGTTTTGAGTGTTCATATGAAGTCCTATTAACAACATGGTCTAACAATTGTTTTGAGTGTTCATATGAAGTCCTATTAACAACATGGTCTAACAATTGTTTTGAGTGTTAATATGAAGTCCTATTATACATTGGTCTAATAATTGTTCCTGGTTTACATAAATATTAAGAGATTAGTATTTGTCTTCCATACAAAGTCTCTGAACAAACACTATGTAACATACAAATGTCTGCTGCAGTATACCAGAATACACAGTACTAATAACATGTTTGAACGTAATAATCAAGAAACAGATACCGAACAACGACAACGTTAAAGACAATATTCACAGAAGGGTTATGGTCTCTTGAATTAATTAAAATTTTAAATGAGATGCCATACCGAGGAGTTCTTTTACTACAACTTCAAAGAAATAAGAAGCCACCCAGCTTATATATCGTGCGATTGAAATGATACGCATGATTTTGATAATGTTAGAGATAGAAATTACAAAGCTTTCCGAAACTGAAACAATCTTATCAAAATTAAGAGAACAATTAAATTACTTTATAAATCAAACATAAAAAAAAAAAGGGAAAATGTACAAACTGTCTATGATATTAAAAATAATGATTTATCAAAATCAGAAGTTTTCTTTTTGTCACTTTTTTTTCCTTTACTCCACAAACCTGTTTCGGCTGGGTCTGTACAGGCTGATTTTGACCAACTGTTACTTTTTTCTTTTCAAAACGTTCGTACCGAAGAAATAAATTGTTCAGCTCGTCATTAGTTCTCAGAAGTTCACCTGTAGACACAATGCAGCAAATAATTAACAATAATAAATCATTTCTGTAAACCACTTTACTTTTGAGTACCGATTGACGTGAATTTTTAAAAAAAAATAAAACTTAAAACCATCTGTTTCCTCCATTAATATATCATAAAGACCAATATTTTATGCTCTGGTTTTATGATACTTTTAAACAAAAAGAACTAAATGAGTTTTTTTTTACAACTTACTCAAAAATGGCTACACAATTACACTAAAACGAATCAAATGTGATAGAACAAGGGAAGACGACCCTTCGGTAAACTTCTTACTTGTAACTTCTTCATTAGCCACTCGATCTATCAGCTCCACAACACGACTCTGCATAGCCCGACAAGTCCGCTGTAGTTCCTGTTAGTACAAGAGAAAATGCAGTCATAATATTTTTCTTACTGTAAAATAGGGTGTAGTTGTCATCAACAGGACTGAAAAATGAAACTTTATAAACTGGCTGACTACTGATTAAATATATTATTTTATTTCTTAGACAGCCATAAAAAATATGATTCATAACTTCATTCACCTGTAAAAGTTCCCAGTCACTAGTATGGCCCTTCCCTGGGGTCATTTCCGTCAACATTTCACCAAATACTTTCATGTTTCCTTCGACCACATCCAACTCACTCCGAAGCTTGGCCAGCTGTTCAGAGGATAAACTTACAGAACTTAAACTCTGGATTGGATTCACCTGTAAATGGACACAGAAAAGAATGATTTATAAGATTTTATATCAAAATTTTACAAGTCTTAAATTTATGGATTAAAAGTAGCTTTTATTTATAAACTAACTCTTTAACTTTTTCCATTGTAAAATATAGTTTTGGGTTACCCAGTTAGGCCTAATATTGATAATGTCTTCAAGATTGTGTAACAAATTTCATATCAAAATTTTACAAGTCTTAAACTTATGGATTAAAAGTAGCTTTTATTTATAAACAAACTCTAACTTTTTCCATTGTAAAATATGGTTTTGGGTTACCCAGTTAGGCCTAATACTGATAAGATCTTCAAGATTGTGTAACAAATTTTATATCAAAATTTTACAAGTCTTAAACTTATGGATTAAAAGTAGCTTTTATTTATAAACTAACTCTTAACTTTTTCCATTGTAAAATATGGTTTTGGGTTACCCAGTTAGGCCTAATATTGATAAGGTCTTCAAGGTTGTGTAACAAAAGATATTAGCTTATGTTTGTCCAACCACTTGAACACTGTAGCTTTGAGCTACATCGATTGTTATAGGTTCTATATGGCAGTGAGACACTGAATAGTTTCTTATCAACTTATCCTGCCTTCTGTCTGGTTTGAGAGACAACATTTCCGACACTGTGTCGAATTCTTTGTCGGTTCCTTCCCACCAACTTTACTCTCAAGGCCTTTCTTCTGTCGTGTTTAATAAGTGAACAAGAGAAATCAATAAAGCACAAACATAAAGTCTTATACATACAGAGGTTGTATATATATATATTATATTAACATCATTTTGGAGCCTCACCAAGTACTTACAGTCCACATCACCATGACCAGTCATGCTCTGTACGTGGAAACCATTTTATGAAAATAAAAAGCAGTAAAGATACACATTATTGTAAAATATTACCACAACAAAATTAATTTATTTGGCTAAAAGAAGTGTACCAAGGAGTAAATTTGAAAATTTATTACACTCTTAACAATATGTATCATATAATACTGTTTAGAAATGAACAACTAATCATAAAAAAATCATGACACTAAGAAACACAAGTTATCAACTTTAGCATTCAAAGCTAAACAGACTCTGTGAGGAGAGGGTTAGTTTTGAAGGGATGGCCATATGCACTGAATGATCACGTGTTGTAAAATAGAGAGAGATTTAAGCTGTGAAGGTACCTGATGAGCTTCTGGTTGTTGAGGACGGTGATCCGTGGGATGTGGTGGTCCTTCCGCCTCACTGTGAGGTTCAGATTGATGAAATGGAATACTCTATTAAATAACAACAGTCAAGAAAAACTATGTGAAAACTCTTCGAGTCTAAAGTTTTCAACACGACAAACATTACCATCTGGGGGTAAAAGATCAATTCCACAATTTAAAAAACTGAATAATCTATGATACTTCTAAACATTCTACCAGAACATAAAAAAGGAAAATTAAGAAATGTCGCAGAAAAAAATATCTTACCCTAGTCATAAAAGCCTAAATTATAATTGTAAACTGGGGAGAGAAAGATTTTAAAAGGGATTCCATGATGGTACACATTTAAGTAAGAGAGACAACTGTTATTTGTATCACTGGTATTATAATAAATGTGATATTTTTTAGGAATTTAAAAAGTAACTTTATTAATAAACCAATATCTCTGATAATTTACTCTAGGCCTAACGGTGACCAGTATACGTATTAATAAGATTTAATGTACACTAGTTAGTATAATTACTACTGTTGCGACAGGGGAAGTCACGTGACGCTGGTAACACCTGACGAGTGTCTAGAAGATTCGCGAAGACGCTAGCATTTGATTTGCTAGACATGCACTCTTATAGTATATAAGACTGTTGAGAAGTGACGGCATGGAGATAGATAGATAGCAGACAGAGAGATTGAAGATATAGACGGACAATTGAGTCAAGCACGGTAGTAAGTAAAGTGTGTGAATTATAGCGTGTGTTTAAGTTAAAGTGACTGTGGAAATTAAGTATATTGCAAAGTTGAATTCAGAAAGAATAAACTAATTTTATTTAAGAAAAGGCTTGTATCGCTGAAGTTTCTCGGAAAGAATTTCTACGAAAAATTTTCAAACAAGCAGATACGTAACACTACTAATAAAACATGCAACACAACTAATAAAAATATAAAAGATAAAATATGTGAAGACATAGCAGTAAGTTGAAGAAAAACAAACTTGTATAAATAAAACATTTGAGTTAGTTATTAATAACAAAGCTACACAATGAGCTATCTGTACTCTGCCCACCACAGGTATCAAAACCTGAATTTTAGCAATATAAGCTCCCAGACTTACTGCTGAGTCACAAGAGAACCAGCTGATTGTGATAAAATTTAAAGGTTAATATTGTTCCAACATTCAACAAAGTCTTAACACAAACAATAATTGTAAAGGTACTAATTACATAAACAACTTCCACGACACAACTTAAAAACTGAAGCCAATTCTTACTGTAATACTTAACTTAAACATACATCCTTTTTCGTTGTACAGTTCTCTCTCATAATAAAAATATTCTTCATGCATAACACTTATGTACATCTACAAACTATGCAATGAACTAAAATATGAAACTCTTACTTTGTTTTGTACTTCTCACATGTGTCGCTTAATGAGCAGTGTATGATGATAATAACAAACAATACTTCTAGTTTTAAATTTAGAATTTATTTAGTTACTTTAAAATGTTTGTTTGTTTTATACGACTCTACCTAACCTAGCAATTTGTTTCAAACTTAACCCTAGTATTACCAACAGGACTCTACCAAACTTAACAATTTGTTTCAAACTTAACCCTAGTATTACCAACAGGGTTCATG